GCCTTAGGGCATGTAGCACGGAGGCAGCACCAAGGTGCTACCTACATCCACGTAAGCTTGGAGAGCTAGAACAATTGCCGATACCGATTACCATTCAATGAGAATTTTTGTCGAAATAGACTACATGTCCAACAAAATTGGCAAAAAAGACCCCTGCTTGATGAAATTGACAAAAAATACCACCTGGGCCGTGGCGGCAGACGCGCCAGGCAACACATGGCACCTGCCGCCACGGTACGAGGCGGCAGCCCCTGCCGCCACGGCGCCCGGCGGCAAGCCACAGATTACGGTGCAACGCTGGCGCGACGGAACGGTGTGCTTGGGTGGGCCCCTACCGCCTGGGGAGCTGGCGGTAGGCTTGTGCCGCTGGACCCGGTCGCTTGGGTAGCTGGCGGCAGGAGCTGCAAGTATATATCCACTGTACAATAGTACTTGTATATAGTGCAGACGACTCCCTCACTTGTCATTTGTTAAGTTGGAGCGAGCTAATGCAGCGCTACAAGGGCATCACAAATGCCAAGTTCCAGGGGATAAATCATGATGATGACCATATCAGGTTAATGAACAAACACATCTAGTCGTGTACAAGCTACAATCGCGCAGGGACAGAAAACGACGAGGTGCAGTCACGCCAGCGGCACAAGCCTGCCGCCAGCTCCCCAGGCGGCCGGGGCCCACCCCAGCACACCGTTCTGTCGCGCCAGTGTTGCACCGTAATCCGTGGCCTGCCGCTTGGCGCCGTGGCGGCAGGGGCTGCCGCCTCGTACCATGGCGGCAGGGGCCACGTGTCACCCGGCGCGCCTGCCGCCATGGTCCATGTGGTTTTTTTTGTCAATTTCATTCGAAAGGGGTCTTTTTTGCCAATTCTGTTGGACATGTAGTCTCTTTCGACAAAAAATTTCAACTTTATATGCTGCCTCACAACATCTACAACCACATACAGTAAATTTGGCCTCTCAAACGATCCGCGGACATACCGGGCGGGTCCATGAATAGTGATTGTTCACATCTCATATTTTCTATTCCACAACCGGATACCTCAACTAAAAATCCTCAAATCCATACAATATAAAACCTAATCTAAATCTTCACCAGCACTCGGTCCATGGCTGTGTCCATGTCTAGAGGCCAGCTCAGCCCCTCGAAGTGAAGGTGCGGTCGCCGGCGAGGTAGAGTAGGACATAGGACACGGACCAGCTCATGGGACTCGAGGCGCCACCGTCTCCCATGCCCTACTCTTCATCGTCAGAGCCCATGGCCTGCACATCGCCGGTCAATGTGAGGTCCACAATAGATCCATCGTGGTCGGAGCCCAACACGTCCACCATGACGCAGTTGTCATACCAGGGCTGCCGGTCACCCATAGTGATTGTGCGGCGTGCAACTCTGCCTCGCCGGCCTCTATCGCGAGGGTTGTCGCTGCCTCGCAAGGCGGACACGTCACGCCATATTAACCTTCCCATCGGACGGCCATAACTTCGGGCATTTACCTTCGACTCGGTGCACCAATGAATGGGTTGCGCCTCCGCCATGGAGTTGGGGCGCCAGATGGACTGCACCATCTCCAACGAGGCAACGGTGACGCGCCACCCGCCGAATTGATTCCGGCAGCTGTCGGGCGGACTCCTCCTAGGATCGATAGAGCGCAAGACAGACAGTCATCTCCACCTTGAGCCCGCATGAGACAAGGTCCCGGTCCATAGATCGGGTGACCGAGGACTCGGATCCGCTGCCCGCCATGTCAGAGAAGACCGAAAATCGTCGGAAGGGAGCTCGGGGCCGAGTGGAGTGGAGTGGCTAGAGTTTGGTCCCGGAAGCGGATGAGCACGAATATGTGGGGTCGGGGTGGGCTAGCACTAGTTGAATCTGATGTGGCGGACGCGCCCAGGCCTCCCCATATCCACCCTAGATTTTGGTCGCATAGGAGCGGCGTCGGTCAGCCAGGACGTATAAGGCAGGCCTGAGGCATCCGCCTGGGTCGGGTTTTTTGACTGGTCAGTGTGTTTTCTCCCAGTTCGCCACATCTTTTTCTTGTTTTCACTTTCCTTTCTTTTACTAGCTTTCTTCATCGAAACAACGGCCTCCTCTGTAAGCAGCACCTGCCTCCTTCGGGCTAACACTTTATTGCCACCATGGAGCCCAGACCTTGTTGTTGGGGTTACACGATGGCCATGCTCTTAGGGCGTCTTCAACGACAACCTATAAATTTCCTCCCGCATCTATCCGCGAATGTCGAGGACCAATCCACGGACACAGATGCAGGTGGTCATCATCCAACGCCGCCCGCATACATTTCAAACACTATCAGTACAACGGACGAAATTCGTGCAAACTTGGCTGGATTTTCATACAAATCAGACGAAGTTCATGCAAACACAGCGGATTTTCATTAGATTTCGTATAAACATGACGAAATTCATTACATTTCAAACATAGTTCAACTAAAAGTGGTGCTCGTCTGACTCCAAGGGTATAATACCTAACTAAAAGATTATCGACGCCCGTTCCCCATCTCCAGCCATGAGCCCCAAAAATGAAGCTTCGCCTTCTCCAGCTCCGCCTCCGGAGCCCCGGGAACTAAAGTTGTCCGCCTTCATGTCACCACCAAGCGACTAATCAGCAACGATGCTCGGCCCACTAAACTTGGCATTGATGGGAGGGGAGGAGCGGTGGCCTTCCTGGGACCAGAGCGACGATGATCTACCATGCACTACTCTTCTTCGCTGTCGGCGACGCGCGCGAACGTGACGACTTCGTGGCCGTGGTGGCGTGGTGTGGCCTCGACGGAGCCAGGGATGTCGTCCTCATCATCGGTCTCGCCGAACACCTTGTCCACCGGCTCATCGCACTCATTATAGGCGGCCGCCACCCGTTGGCTGTACCGCCGCGGGCAAGGCGTATCTCGCGGGCGGAGCGATAGGAGTCGAGCAGCGCCGCCTGCTCCGTCAGGTCCGTGTTCGGTCTTATCACCCTGCCGGCGAGCTGCTCCTCCACATGCATGTGCTCCAGGAGAGTTGGTGGTTGTAAGCGGCATCAGCATGCACCTCCCGAAGTCGTTCCTCCCGCACCATGTCCATGTAATGGGCACGAGCCTCACCGATGGTCATGGTGCAATGCACCGGCAAGGGTAGCGTGGACGAGGAGGCTGGCGCCGGCTCATCGGCGACCGCATCCTCCATTCATCGTAGCCCTTCGGCTGAAGCCGGTAGCAATGGCGGCCATCTCCTTCTTCTCCTCCAGCACCAGCCCGTCCCAGAGAACTTTGGTGCGGGAGAAATCCATGGTGGGAGTGGTGCGGAGAGGGATTGGATGCGGATGACTACAACTATGGTCATGGCAGCAGTTTATATAGCAATGATGGGTGACAGAAGGACGGACAAGTGGCGCAAAGTAGCCGCCTCGGCAACCGTGTATCATTAATGTGGGCAGCAAACGAATGGACGACGTGTCATTTGAACGTGAAGTAGTCGCGTGCACCAGGAAGCGGTGCGAGCGGTGCTTTCTCGGCCGGCATGCCGCTTCAATGTCGGCACCAGTATCATTTCGGATAGGAAACGCTCGCGGGCAAGGGAGTGGGTATGGGTGCGCCAAGACGGTCAGAAGCGGGCGTGGCAGCGGTCCAAACTCCTGCAAAGCCTTCTCACGTTTCTCTTCAGTTTGCGGACGAAAATACGTAAGGACCATCATGCAGACCGATACAGGTCCACATTGAATGGCTTCCACGATCTAAACAGCGCAGCCCGCAAGGTCTGAGGGTCGTTGGAGATGCCCATGGAACCTCTTTGATTCAGGGGATTCTCAGAATGTGGGAAGAGAGTATTATGGACTCTTGTACCTACAGGATTACAAAACTATAGGAATTTGGATGGAAGAGTGTCTGATAGCACCAAAAAGGAAAATTAATTCTATGTAAAAGTTCCTAATAATTCCAATCATGCTAATCAGACGACCACATAGCAAAATTCTAAGGATCTAAATACTGTAAAATTCCTTGGAACCAAAGGAGCCGTAAGTTGACACGCTGCCCTTGGGCTCTGCAAGAGTAAGGAAAAGAATAGAGAAATGTTTTGAAAGAAACGAATATCCAATTCGGAACCGAGCTCATCTACACCCTATGAACAGTAAAAGCAAAATAAATACTAATACTAAAGAATCAAAAAATACTATATCTTTTTGTGGTGAAAGATGCTTGAGTGCGTGACGTTCGTGCCAAATTTCAAAGCATTCAGATATCTGAGTAGCTCTCAGCAAAAAAGACAAATTCAGGTCTTCAGAATTTTTTGAATTTATTTTGTATTTTTAACGATTTTACTGTTCACTCCCGGGCTCATCCGAGCACAGGAGCAAAAACGGCCCGTCCGAACCGCTATATAAAGATCTGTTTTGGGAGCTCCGTTGAACAAGATCAAACGGGAGACGATAAATGCAACTTAGCCCGCCAAGCTTAAAACGCAATGCTTAGCTAAATATAAACATATTTTTTGAATTGTCATACGTGGAGAACTAAGTGGCAAACGGAGAGACAAAACTGCTTGCTGACCCACAAGCACCCGCTTCATCTAGAAAACACAGAAATTTCACAAGAAAAATACAATTCCTGCAGAATTCAAGAAAATTTCACGTGTTCCAAACAACGCTCTCGAAGCTTTTTTCACAAATCGGTATGTTCATAACTCTGGTCCTAAAGCTGGTACAGCACCGTATCATACATTCTAGCCAGATAAATATATATTCATGAATAAACTTCGCAATGTAATTAATAAACAGGCTACAGCCATCAACATGCCTGCTGTGATTTAATTAATTAGGACGCAATAAAATATGTTCAGTAAGCTTCGCCATAATAATCAAGAAATCAGCAGCAGCCGTCAGCCAGTTTGCTGCATTTTAACTAGGATAAGGTAAGTTCGTCAGTAAGCTTCGCCATAGCACTAAATAAACTAGCTAGTGGACTCCACGGGTATGTTCGACAGAATAATGAAAACAGCAAGATAACTACACTAACCAGCCTTTTCAGCATTACCATTTTCAGCAGGTCCCTCACTCATCAGCTCATATGCCTGGTAAGGTACCTCGCTCATTGGCCGAGGAACAGGACGGCCTGCGAAGTCTTCAGGGAAGAACGTGAAATCAGGCCCAAAGTTGAACCTGACCTCACAATTTGGCTCATCAGGCAGTGAGTACATTGATGCAGCTGGGTAGTAGCGCCCTCCAGGAATATCCTCAAAGGCCGTGCCTTGGCATACCCCGTTCTTGAAGTAAACTATCTCACTTCCTACATTTGCAGTTAGATTGAAGTCAATAACAAGACAACAGGCCCTATGAATAGAGTTTGGAGAAGTTGGAAGCAGGAAGCGGCATGCAAGGGCAAGACAACAATAGCTGGGATTCTTTATTTCAAAATGCAAAAACACAAGGAAACACCTTCCTTATAGTGTCTGTTGACTGTATATGTACTGAACACCCCACTATTGAAAATCTCAATCAGAGCTACAATAGGGTAACAAAATCCTTGTAAACATAACAATGAAATTTCTGATTTCACTAATTATGCAAGACATGAAGGTGCTATGATAGACTAGATATGCAAAAATGCATGAACAAGAAATTAACCACAACGTCATAAACTTTGAATTCATACCAATGGGCTAACAAAGACATGGTTTGATTGAGAATCAGAATGTGCAGAAGCAACCGAACCAGAATAACTATGATGTGCCGGAAAAGCAGATGATACACTCGTATGAAGGGGTGGTGAGTAGTGGAGTCCACTGTGCAGAAGGGGGCAGCAAAGGTCAGAATTGCAAAGCTTTTCGTGGAACATGGACATTGAGAGCTTACATTTTGATATCTGAAACAATATACACCATCCTTGACAGAAACTAATTTAGTAAATTCATATAAGAATTGAGAAACTTGTATGAATTGCAACTGCTGCGTTTTAGGAGATGTCATTTGACAACTAAATGCCACTTGATTGATTTTCTTTTTATGCTTTAGTCAATGGACAGTATGCTGCATCCATCATCATGCTTCTGCATCAAATGCCGCTCCATACTTCAAAGGAAATAATATCACCTATTAGGTTGACTAGGTGACTATCTATGGGAAATATCACAATATGAGTGAGTGAAATGAAATTAACGACGCGTTTGGTTCCTGCTCAGGTAATGCAATGGGTTTCCGTAATAGGTAGGTGTCGCTTCTGATTCTTTTTTACGGGATACTGACTTTGTTTGGTTCGCTCGGTCCTGTCCGGTTTCCTAATCACCTTCCGCTCAGCTGGTTTCGACTTTGCAAAACCGCACATCGGAAATCGCTACTACAGAAGGCGTAGTATGCAAACCAAACACATTCTGCACTTCCAGAAAGCGTGGGAATTGGAAACCGCACCAAATTCGCTGAACCAAACACGCTGTAAGTTCTAGTATGTGCAATGGAGATTTGGAACACATAAGTATCCCAGTGCCCACACAGGTATTTGGAGCTTGCATAAGTCATAAGGTTGAAAAGGACAGAATGCACCCATTTCAAAAAGGGGCTTCGTAGCTGCTGCTGCAGTTGTGAAGCATGGGCAGTACGAGGACAAATGACAAATGAGATAAGTACAACGATCTATAAACTTTTCTAGTAACTAACATACATACAAAATCAAGTAGCCCGTATATTCACATTAAAGAATTACTCTGTTGAATATGTTATCCTAAAACCTAAGTACTCTATTCCTGCAGTTTTTGAGCATAAAGAATGAACATATGAAGAGGAACCTTAAGAAAGATTACTCACCAGGAACTGGATCCGGCGCCTTTTTCTCATCCTTGAGACCTTGTGCATGGAAAGGCATCCCCTTGTACTTAACCAGGTCAGGTTGTTTGGGCTCATACAGCTCGCCCTGAGGCAGAGAAATGTAGAAGCCCAGGACATCTCCTTCACCATATCCTTCATCGGCATACTTGTCCCTCCAGGCCTTGTACACCTTGGAGCCATCGACGCTGCGGTAACTGAAACCAAAGCTGTCGCAACCCACAGGTGTCTGGATGTCAGCCTTGTTGGTGGCCCAGCCGAGACGGGTGGCGCCGGAGCTACCAAGGTGCATCACCTTGACCTCAAAATACCAAGCACCGGATGCAATGCCACGGGTGGCGCGTATCATGCGGTAGCCCTTGGTGCTGCCTGCGGTTAGGCGATCCTCCGAGACCTCGATCTTCTCGGACTTGTAGACACGCGAGAGGAGCACAGGTAGTTCGGGGCCGTCGTCGTTGCGTTCGGCCGCGAGGCGGGGTGCCGGGGTGAGGAGGAACTCGTCCTCGCCACAGGAGGGCCTGGGGCGACCGCCTCCGCTGGCGCCGGCGCCGCCGGCGACGGCGTGGCCGGGCGGCTTGGCCTTCTTCTTCCCCTTGCGGGAGTTGGGCCTGGTCCAGACGCAGTTGCCGCCCTTCTTCTTGGACTTCTTGGTCGGCGGGGCCGGGGGCGCGAGGGTCATGTGCTTCCTGGCGGCGCCCGAGGGGTCGTTGATCCCGTCGTCGTCGGCGTCATCCACGGCCGCCGCGTAGAGCGGGGCGACGGCGGAAACGTCGGCGTCGGAGGCGGTGGCGGCGTCGGAGAAGGGGGTCTCGGGATCCGCGGCGGAGGCGGGGGTGTCGGGGAGGTTGGGGGTCCTGGCGGCGGCTTCGGGGGTCGGGGCGTCGGTGGGCGGCAGGAGCAGGTCGGAATCGGACGGCGGCAGGAGCAGGTCGGAATCGGAGGGCGGCAGCATCGCGGGCGAGGGAAGGGCGGTGTCCGCCATCGGGGGAGGAGGAGCACTCGGGAGCTGGGGATTGGGAAGCGGCTCGAGGGTTTGGGTGTGATTTGGGTGGCGAGGGTTTCGATTTTGCCTGGGTTTTGTTGGGGTTCAGGGGGGTCACGAGCAGCAGCGCGGCGCCAAAGCTTCCGTTTCTGCTTCGTGCTGTTGTGCGGGAATGGCGACGAGTTCACATGTCATCGGCGGCAGCGCGCTCGCATGGAGCAACGGCAACGCCCGAGGCCCGGAGACGTGAGCACCCCGCACGAACAGGCACAAACAAGCCCTGCGCCCGTGGCTCGTCGCCATCCCATCTGCCTGCCTACTCTCTCTTTTCTTTTTAATTAACACGGGAAGGGACTTGTTATCAAGTGCAGCGATTTGGTGCCCATGCTTATATGCACCCGGTCAAAACATCATTCGCAAAAGATTCAAAAAATTCAAATTATTTATGCATTATAGATAATTTATTGCATGAGGCCCGCTTCAATTTTCAGATCATTTGGACATCTGAGTAGCTCTCAGCAAAAAGACAAATCGGGACGGAACAGTACATGACCAGTAAAGTTTTTTACTAACCCTCCTCACAAAAAAAAACTTTTTTACTAATCCCAAAATTGGAGCAGCCCTCACACATCAAATTATCTACCATGCAAAAAACATTTGAATTTTTTTATTTCCTAGTATTTGTTTTGATTTTTTTTCTCCATCGCGGGTGCAGATGAGCCTGGGCTCAAAATTGATTTTTTTTTCCTTATTATCGAAAGTGATACAAGTCCACACAAAGGACCCTAATAAAAAAAATTACTACCAGGTCCTCCTGAAATGCAAGTAACCTAGATGGCTTACGGGCCGAGAAGCTGCCGACAACAACACGAGACGCTATGGCCACCATCCAGACGACCGGATATTTGCCAACATAGGGCGAGGAGACGAGGGTCTCCCATTTGGAGGTTGAAGGTGGGGGTGGGGGCAGGGGGGCCTTTGGTCTTTGGCAACATCGGGCAAGGAGAAAAGGCACTCCTACTTGGAGGCTGAAGATGGGGACTTTGGTCTTTGCCAACAAAACAACGAGACGTGGAGATCCTTCCAGGCATACTGGAGACTCTTTGAAGGTTGATCTGCACCTCTAGAGCTAAGGTCGGTGCCGATGAAGAAGATGGAAGTGGACGCACCAAGAAGCCAGCTTCAATCCTCCATGGAGCCCTAGATCAAAGATGGCATGAAGCAACCTCACCTCCTTCTTCGGCACCGTCACCATGATGACTGAAGAAGAGGACCAAGCATGTTGGATTGGCCACATTTGGTTGCTCCGCAAACTCATCGATGGATATAATGGTGGATCCGAGCCCAAGAGATAGCTTCCACCCTGGGATGACTGTGGGATCTGATCGGCAGCCATTAGATGCAGTCCGAGTGCTCCGACGAAGAACTGCAGTACTGGAAAGATGTCATTAATGTTGATTGTACCTAAGCCTTCCTTTCATTAATAAACTATAAAAGTTGGGAACTTAATGTGACGCCCCCGATGCAATCGTACACTAATCATACACGCAAACGTGTACGATCAAGATCAGGGACTCACGTAAGATATCACAACACAATTCTAGACACAAATAAAATAAACAAGCTTTATATTACAAGCCAGGGGCCTCGAGAGCTCGAATACATAAGCTCGATACACAAGAGAGTCAGTGAAAGCAACAATATCTGAGTACAGACATAAGTTAAACAAGACTGCCCTAAGAAGGTGAGCACAAACAAGATACAGATAGAAGAGGCAAGGCCTCCTTCCTGGGACCTCCTAACTACTCCTGGTCGTCGACAGTCTCCACGTAGTAGTAGGCACCCTCGGGGTAGTACTAGTAGTCGACGGGGGTGGCAACATCTGGCTACTGGGATCCACCATCTGATCGCAGCAACCGGGTATAGGGGGAAAAGAGGTAGCAAAGCAATCGTGAGTACTTATCCAAAGTACTCGCAAGCAATAGATCTATACTAAGTATGCATTGCTAACAAAGGAAGGGATGTATCTGTGGACTGAACTGCAAAATGCCAGAATAGAGGGGAAGGCCTAGCCTACCGGAGACTAGCATCTACCAACATCTTGCAGCATTCAAAAGAGTACATTATAGCATTTTATTATTAACAAGCATATTGTAGCATTAACGCCCAAAGATCCTTTCTCGACTCCCTACGAGAAAGCAATCCCATAGCCATCATATCCATCTCATGTCTCAAGTATCCATTTGTAGTTGTAATAGATCGGCATACAACTCTGAGCGTCCATTACCATGGACACAACTATTCGAATAGATAACTTCCCTGTAGGGGTGCACCACATTACCCATCACGCTTGATTACTCTGGCCGGACACACTTTCCCGGGTCATGCCCGGCCTCGGAAGATCAACATGTCGTAGTCCTACCTAGGCTCCGCACAGAGGTCCACGCCGATCTACATCCTAGGCGCTCTGGGTCATGGGCCCATGGCCCTTTGCACTCCGGGTCGTTATGTGACGAGCCGGGACGAGCACCACCTCATCCGGGAAGGCACTGGCCCGACATGCCCACAATGCTGAACTGGACATCTGATAGAGCTTTCGGAATAAATGTATGACGTCAAGTGCCCATAACTGTTCCCGCGTGGCAGTTAGTGCGTATACGCCAGTGGCCAACTCAGATCAAATACCCAAACCCTTAGTGTATTGGGAGCTCGCGGAGGCGGGCAGAGACTCACGATCATGTGACCCCGTCGCCACATTTTGAGGAAATACGGCAAGGGCCAGGCCCAACCCTCTCACTGGGGCGGTCTACCTACCCGGCCATGCCTCGTAATTATCTCGCGGGTACCCTCCAGGTCAACCCGACTTCAGTATCTCTTGCAGGTACCCCTCGGGGCCGGCCCGACTTCAACAATGGTCTCAAGTAAACTCCAGGTAACCATGTGTCCATAACATCAAGGGGGAATCCGAGGAATCACCCTCGATGGAATCCACTTGATGTAATCATCAAGGCAAACTAGGAGGAATCACCCTCGAGGTTCACACTTGAGGTGTTACACGACAGAGTCGTATCGGGAGTGGTGAAGGAGGAATCACCCTCGATGACCACGACTGAATAGCTACACTACAGAGTTATCATCCGGAGTGCCATATGAGGTATCACCCTCGGCACTCGATAGTAGCTCTGCATAGGTCGTACAACTAAAGGGGGTGAGGTGGTGTGTCGGGCTCTACACGTCGATCACGTTGTCGAGTCATCGATCACCAAGCCGAGGCAACTGGGACAGGGTGAGGGGTCACGTGTGGATCACTAACCAACCTATCACTACTAGGGAAAAGCCTATACACGGAAACTTACCAGCAGCGCTGCTCAAAATACAACGCTACTGCTACTTAGCAGTAGCGCGTGATAGCAAAATGCGCTGCCGAAAGGAAAATAGCAGTAGCACGTCCACCGCAAAACGCGCTACTGCTCTAATTGCCATGACCTCCCCCCCCCCACTAGTTATAGCAGCAGCGCCCTATAATGAACCGCGCTACTGCTATTCAGATTAGCTGTAGCGCATTTCGGCAAACGCGCTACAACTATCCCTACCTTATCCCCACGCGCACGATCGACCCTCTCTCTCACTCACACTCTCACACTCGCCCGCGTGCCGATAACCGTCGTCGTGCGTCACCGCCACCGCCGCCTTCGTCCGTCCGCCGCCGAGGTACTCCCCTCCTTCCGTCTCTCCTCCCTCCTCCTCGCACATCCTCCCTCCGCATGCGGCCGCCCCTCCCTCCTCCGCCGCCGCCCTCCTCCCTCCGCCTGTGGCCGCCCCTCCTCCCTCCGCCGTCGGCAGCCCTCCTCCCACCGCCCTCGACCTCACTGCCGCCACCCGAGCCCACCCAGCACCGCCGCCTCCCGATCCCGATCCCGCCCCTAGCTACCTCTCCGTCGCCCCCCACCCCCTGCCACTAGTTAGTACTAGATTTAGTAGTAGTAGATGTTAATTTAGGGTTCATAGCTAGTACTAGATGTTGCTTAGTTAGTACTAGATTTTTAGTAGTAGTAGGTGTTAATTTAGGGGTCACATTAGTACTAGATTTTTAGTAGTAGATGTTAATTACTAGTAGTGATGGTACTAGTTAACTAGGGCAGTATGATTAATAGTAGTTGTAGTTGAACTACTTTAGTTGTAGTTGAACTAGTTTACTAAGTAAATTAATAAACTAGTTGAACTAGTTGAATTAATAGAACTAATGTATTTTTAGTAAGATAATTAATATAACTAGTTGAACTACTTTATTTTTAGAAAGAACTAGTTTTTTTCTATTTATAGTAACTTTATATTTAGTAAGAACTAGTTGAATTAATAAAACTAGTTGAACATGTCATATTTGTTGTTATTTTTTTAGTTTAAGCAATTATTCGGGATGTATTAGTGATAACTTATACGGTTTCAGGTGACCACCGTCGTCCCCGTCACCGACCCCCTCCGACATCCCCGTCGTCGTCCCAGTCACCAACGCCCTCCAACATCCCCGCCGTTGTCCCAGTCACCGACCCCCTCCGACATCGAGGTGAGACCAGCCAAATATCCTTGTATATCTTGTGTTGTTGCTCAAATAGGATATGTGGTTGCCCAAGTGGCCGTTCATGTTCAGTTTACATCTCCGAGTGGCCTATGTTTTGCCGGAGTGTTGATTAATTTCCGTTCTGGCAAATTTCAGGCGCTCGATATGTCCTTTTTTAGGAAAGGTCATGCCGGGTTTTTTCGTGAATTCTGGCATGACTTGTGCTAGAATATGTACACGTTTAATCTTTGAATTATGAACGTAGGAAATGTCGTACTCGGACAATGACAGCCTCCCGGGGGAGTGCAACTGGTGCCACGACGATCGAGGTATGTGCGACAGGTTCGTTGAGCTGGACGAAGATCAGCGCTTCAGCATTAAGCTCGAGGAGACCTTCGATGTTGAAACGGTACGCAACAACGACAAGTGTTTTTTCGTAATT